AACACTATCAACGAGCTAAGCCAAACAACACCAGCAACAACAGCCACAGCAATACTAGCAAAAAATAACAACTGCAATTGCGAAAAAATCGCCAAAGCGGATACGTGTGCTATGGTGCCAAAAAAGAGAACTAAGGGTAAAAAAGAAATATAAATAAATAAAAATAGAAAACGAGAATGTTGTTGAGTTGCCAGACATGCAATACTCTTGCCTTTGGCTTATATTAAAAACTTAAATTGGTCGAATTTATTCAATTTGTATGCGCAATATTAGAAAGCACATATCTGGTAAGTTTAATTAAAATGTGTATTTTTAATGAGATTTAATATAATACATAGGTGTAGTACTTCGATATTAAATTGGTAAATTTGTATAAATTTGTATACTCAATTTATATAAACTTATAGGCCAGGGTATATAAAAAATAGGGAGAGAGACAGTAATATAAAAAAGGAGGAGAGAACACGTTTCGTAGACAATGAAAATTGTCTGGAATGTAAAAGAAAATGGCCAATCGTAAAAATAGCAACTAACGGTTAAAAAGTGGTTGTTATTGTCTGTACAAAAATAAGAAGAAGACGAAGTAGAATAATATAGAAAGGATATAAGAGGTAGGAGTATGTAGGACAAAATACTGAGCAACTTGGCTGGCAGATAAGGCAAAGCAGAGAAGTGCTGCGAGCAGTGCGATGAGGTTAAGTAGATGGATGGATAGAAATGTCCTTGCGATGGCTTTCGGCCAGTGGCAGAGCACGTGATTTATGTGGTAAATAAAAGCAGACACAAATGAGAATCAAAGCGTTCAGATACGGGTAAAGCTGCAGTAGCAGTAGCAGTAGTAGTAGCAGTAGGTTTGAGCAGTTGTAGTAGGTAGCAGTATCAGTTGCAGTTGCAGCAGCTGCATCAGCAGTCGACAAACTGCGGTTGAAGCATACATTTAGGCGCAGCCAAAGGCTGAGAAAGGGGGAGGGGTGCAGACAAAGGAAAAGAACTGACAGCCGGCAGCGCAATGGCAAAGGCAAAGGACTTGCTGCTGCTGCTACTGCTGGTAGACAAAAGCAAGTAAGAGAGAGAACATGAAATCCGGTGCGGCTCAACGGCAGACGAATAGACAGAGAGACGCCACATCGAGTTGAGTAAAAGTTTTTAATATTATTTCAAGTCTGAAATGAGGGCAATCAGCGGCGCAATTGTCGAGCGGCAAGCATAACAAAGAAATGCTCTTGCCACCAACCAGAGCTGGCTGGGCATGGGACATGTGGAGCAAGAGGGGGCTTAGCACACGGCAAAGTAGCGAACAAAGACGACGAACGTTTAACAGCCACCAACATTGCCAATAACTGGGCACTGCCAACGCGATGGCTGGGTGAAGGTGGTGCAGGCAGGCAGCAGTGGCAATAGCAGCTGATGCACTGTGAGCATTGGGGCACAAGATAACTTGCACTGCCAGAGGATGGGTGCTGCAGGAAAACAAACAAAAGTATTTCCAAATGCGACGACAATGCCAAATAGCAAAGACAAAGGCAACTGAACCAAACCGAACCGATGCGAAGTGAACCGAACTGATGCAAACCACGCCAGTAAATGATCCAGATGGGAGCAGAGAGATGTAGATAGCATCGTTTACAAATTGGTAAGCCTTGTAGCGCCAATTAGGCTCATGCAGCTGCTAACTGAGCTATGAGTTATATAAGATATTCAGGTGGAGCAATATAGCTGTTGTATATGAGCACACAGGAAGTGTGGCAAACAATTCCCACCAGTTGAAGGCTAAAACTTGTGAACTAAACACATTGACATGGAACCGTGAATTATAAAAAGAGGTCGCCAAACAATAAATAACTAAAATTTTGCTAGTAAAGAGAAATAGTTTTTTTTTTGTAATATGCTTTCCTAAATAATGTAATTATTATTCAAATCCAAATATATATGACACATGTCAACTGCAATTTGTATTTTTATAATTTTGAAACTATATTTGTGTATTGATAAATATTATATTTCTTATCAAAAACATAGAGAAATGAAAATACTAAATAAATACATACAACTTTAAGTTTCGCAGAGGAAAAAAATTATATATATATAAAAATGTATATTTCTTATGCTAAACATAAAGTTAGGAATATAAGAAAAAAAAATGGTAACAGGCAGTATCTACATAACATTGATGCCCGACATTCAGTAGAAAAATCTTTGTTTGATTTAAAAAGCTGGATAGCTTTCAAGTCCAATATGGGAATTGGTGTACATTAGTTGCAGTTACGACAATTTCAACTCGCAACGACTTCAGGCTGTGTTGTATTATGTTGCTGCTGTTGGGGAGCACGTTGTGCTGCCTTTCGTGTTTCATGGGCCACTCTCAGCGTCTAGTGGATGACATCGGTGTTTTGTCCTGTTTCAGTTCCACACGTGCCGCAGTGGAAGTGAAACACATGCGCTGCGCCAAAGAGCGTACTGAACTTGTACCACTAACCCAGTTAGAGTCAAGATGGTTCCACAGGATGCGTGCCGCGTAGTCCACGCTTAGCTGCAGTTACGAATGCATGCGAGTCCCGTCACGAACACGAGCATCGGGAATTGACCGAACCCCAAGCTTAAAGTTGGCCCAAGAACACTCTGGCAATGGACTGATACCAAGTTCGAGCGTGTTTGAATAAGCTTTGAGTGTTTTTTGCGAATGTTGCTAGCGCAATGTGCCAAATGTGTATATACATGTTACTATTGCTACTGTGAATAAACGGTCAAAGTTTCACTCTATTATCAATGTTGATAAGCTGCTTGAAATAACTTTGGTAAATTTGTATTTATTCAATTATCAGCTATAGAAAGTGTTTTAGCCAACTACGTATTTGTGTATCACTTATATACAGCACAAATTACAATCTATTTTTTTTGCCATAAATAAAATGATTGAATGGTTCTCAGTGGGAAGTCTTACCGGAAATTTATAATTTTTATCTAGCATTTTTTATAAAGAATTATTTATGCTCTTATCGCCTTCGATATAGAGTTCATTAAATTTGTTGTTGATTTTTAACCAAAATAAATTTAATCCAATTTTTGGCTGATGTTCTTCTATTCTTTCACATTTGAATTTTCATATCACATGACAAAATTATAATGGTTGAAAAAGAGTTCCGAAGAAATTTTAATTAAACATTCTCAGCGACGAACGTTTGGTTCATAAAATGGAAAATGTCATTTATTTTGTAGTTTTGCACAAGGACACGTTTCCCTATTTCAGTCTGTCCCTCTCTCTAGCCCCCTACTCTAGCCAGTTATCATCAGTTGCTTTCGCCTTGGTTTCACTTAGTGCTTATCTTGCGTTGACATACCTTGTCATTTGGGCTGTCTTCGTAAAAATATCAAATGCAATTTACTGCAACAGCAAAGTTCACAAAAACAGCAGGACCTACACACACACACACACACACAGAAATACATATATACACATGTAGGTGCATCAGCCCAACTAGTTGTTGTCAGTTATTTAGTCTCTTTTTGTAGATTTTTATTGGACACCAGAAACTTCATTTGCATGAAAGTTCATTTTAGATTGCTATTAAACGAATAATTTAAGTTTGATATTTACTATATAAAAGCGAGTTGCCCAAAGTAAACCTTTTTCTCTCGCTCGAGTATTAAAGTGCTTCAGGAGCCGAGAGATTTATTTTTTAACATAATTGTGTCTAACTTGGCAACTATAAAAGCAACAGTTGTAAAATGTGTACATGTTTATCTATTCCCATTTAGGGATTATTGCAACATAAATATTCAAAAATAAACAACAAATATTACTGAAATCAAAGTATTTTAAGTAAATTTATTTTGCTATTTAAAATAATTGTGCAATTTTAAAAATGTATAATTTTTAAATGACTTTCGCTGGCTCCAGATCTGTTTTTTTTTTTTAAATCTTTTATACTTCAATATATTTTGAATCCCTTTAGGATGCAGTTGGTTGTGGAGTTTCAAACTCAAACAAAAGTGATCACAAAACAATAAGCAATAGTGAATAATATTTGCATATTTTTGGATTTTCTACTCCATATTACCCAACGACTCATCCCAATTCTAAAGTTGTCAAAAATCTGTATACTGGCTGGAAAACACTTTAGTACAAGTATTACTAGTTTTATTTTAATTGTTTCCTCTATTGAACAACGTTCGGGTGTGGTGCTACCCAGAAGTGTTGCCTGCTGCATGCTGCATGTTGCATGCACAAGTCGAACTAGGGCGAGTCAATTTATTTGCATAATTTTCTTGTTTACAATTTAAGTCGAGAGAATCGAGAGAAGAGGGGCTGGCACGAAGACGGCAATTGTGATTGACTTAAATGAAGTTACGACTTTGCAACAAGCCAAGGCAACGGACTAAGTAAGTGGCATGAGTAACAGAAGTTGGACTTGGACAATTTATAATATTCAATTTATATGCATTTTTTTTTTTTATGCTAGTCGCCAACGCGAACGACAACAACAAAATAGACGGCAACAACAACTGCAACTGCTAAGCTGATAATTCCAGATACACTCACACACACATACAAGTTGAAAAGATTCTCAGAATGAAATGTTCGCTGTGATTAATGAGATTTGTCGCTTGGTTCATTTGAGTTTTCCATGCCGTTGACTTGGCTCCATGTTGGGCCTGGTCGCCAGCGAAGTGGCATGCATATAAATATCATAAATGCTAAGAGCTTGCAATTGCTGGCTCTGAGAAGTATGCTACACAATTGGGCAGTTCGCAAATTGCTGGAAACGGCGGCAAGCAATTTGCATTTTCATTACTTGCAGCTCAATTTGAAAACAACAAGGCCGTCATCTTGGTAGTTGCCTCAATTGTTTTTGGGTGACTAGTGTTGCCGCAAAAGCTTTTGCCAGACCTATTCAAATGAACGACATTAAATGTTGGCCCGGCCAATAATTCATTTGTTAAGCTCCGTCACGCATTCAGCCAAGATAATCATGGGCCAAGGACATCGTTCGTTGCGTTAAATTCCTTTTATTTTATTTACATTTACATTTACATTTTCGTTTTCATTTTGTGTTTTATATTTATTTTTAGTAAGTTTTAAACGCTGCACTTTCGGCTAGCCGGCTGAGTTATGGCTGGTAATAAATTTCTATGACATATAAATGTAAATAATTGAGTAGGCCTAGCAAGTTGCTGAGAATGGGAATGAGATTGAAGATGAGGACTGTTGTCGTTTAACAATGTGATGAATGTTCCGGCACAGTTTACGGCCAATTTGGGCATTTCATTTCAAACATTTTGTTAAATTTTATTATACAAATTATAGCAAATATAAACATATATTTATTTTATTATTTATTTACTTAAGACTATCAAGCTACCATTTCAATGAATGCTCCCAACTAAATTCGTATAATTCAAGCACCGCTTTAGACGGTTAGTGGCGTTATGGGCAGTGGCGACGATAAGTCTATTTTGAGCTTCTTGACGACTTCATTTACTTGCTCCTTGCTCTTCATTCCGAAGCCTTCGAAGTTTTCCACGTGGAAGAGACTCACTCTGTGTGGGTTAAAAAATATAAGATTTATTTTTGGAGATCTACTGGCAAATATTGCACATTTTAACTATAGTTTGGGTTGGAATTTTCGTTGGAAATGTAACATGTCTCCAATGAATTTTCACATATTATATCTTGCATAAATATTTAAAAATACATTTGGTCGGACGACAGTTTAAATTTCGCAAAGCGTGATTCTTGAATTTTGTAAGCCCTGCCTTGAGTGACGATTTATCTGTCAGTCGGTAGAAGGTATTTTATATAAGAGGATTTAAAGTCTTACCTTTTGCCCGACATATCAAATAGGAATCTGTAGTAGCTGCTACGTATTGTTTTTGCCTCCAGGATGGCGCAGTGGAAGAGCACAGCTGTACACGCACTATATAGTATCATATTAAAGTGCGGTATTTCGGGCACAACATCCTCCTTAATGCCCCAAACATAGAGCATATGCATCGCCTTCCACATCACATACAGCGATATCGTAATGTTTGGGAACTGCAACAGACCAATGGAGCCCAGCAGACCGGCGGGTATTGCAAAAGTGGCACTATCATATCCACAAACATTGCGCAGAGAACAGGAAACTGCCTAAAATCAGAAAGTTATCGTCAATTATCGATTGCAATATCGGATATTAAAACTTAAAAAATACATATTAACTACTATATAGGTATACTTTTTGCTAGTCCAATAAGATTTACCTTGTAGATCAGTGAGAATGTGCCCAGGGCCAGACCCAAGTTCAGAGATCCTTTGTTAAATATCTGCTTGCGCCAGTTCATCTTCATTTTGATTATGTTGGGTATGCTGAGCAGCAGCTTTAGGCCCACTTGCAACCCAATGCCGCCCACAAAGGGTTTTAGGCCACCCAGGAGGGCGTAACTGCCGCAACCCTCGCGATGTGGGCAACTTGGATGTTTGGCCTTTTGCACACGATCGTAGAGCTGAATGTAGGCAGAGATGCTGCGGAAGTCGAATGGCTGCCTGGAGTTTTGTTTGGTTGTTACTTGTGGCGTTTTAATTGCACCCTCCTCCTGCTTGCCAATGAGTATACTCAGAGCCTTAAAGGTGGCGTCCTTGACCTTCGTCTTATGCACACCCATGCGGTACATATAGAGCAGAGCTGTTAGGCTGCAGCCCAAAATGAAAACATGTCCATTGGGTATTGAGCGCACTAGACCACGTGCCTCCAACATGTGCCACAATGCCTCTGAAGCAACATTTGCCACATACAGCGCCAGTGGTGTGCGACGCTCCGGTCGCTCAATGCTCAATGCGACAAAGCTGCCAATAAATGTCGGTATGAAGGCCACTGTGCTGGCATAGAAGCGACCAAGGAAGCGACGAACAAGGCAGACCATCAAGGAGAACATATAAGCGTTCGTCGTGAGGAAGGCCGTCGACTTTAAAATGCCAGTAATCGTGTGCTGTAAGTCCAACAATCTTGGAATGCGCATTTTCATCACGAGCGCCAGCTGTAAAATTTGATAATAATCAATTATTTATTATACAGTATACAATATTATTCTACTATTTCTGCATTTCTTTCTATTCAGATTTTAGAAATGAGCACTCTATATGCAATGCGGCAACCAACAAGAAAATAATCGGTGGTAAACTTGTGATTCGCGGTGCAAAACAATGTCTTACACTTAAATATAAGAATTTGATTTTTATGATATCGACCATTTCTGTGTAAATAAGAACTCTGTAAATTTGAAAATTGCCTTTCCACACCCTTGACACAAACCTATGTTAAAGCTATTCTAAACGGTCAGCATGGGAAAACTGCGTTACATTTTCTTTTATTTTTTGCATCAATTTAAATCGCAGTTAATAGAGTTTTCTCTTAAAGATGTTAGATCCCTTAAATATTGATCTCTCTTTATATTATTATATAAATTAAAAGAGCATAAACCAACAGATCTGCTAGCTGATATTGTAACTATTAATAAGAATACAACAATTAATGCAATCAAAACTGAGACAATAATTATGGAAAAATGTGTCATGTCACGCCGCAAATTATTTAAATTCAGAAAAAAAAAAACTATGAAAAGACATAGAAACAAGTAAGAATGCTGTAGTCGAGTAATATCCTGTTAAATATAATTTTGCATAAAATCATTATACTCTTTTCAAAAAAAAAAAAAAAAAAAACCAATTGCACTCAAACTCGTGTGATGATAAGCGATATAATGGTAATAATTGAAATAATCGAAAGTAAAAAATTTAGTTGTTATTTTGTCTCAACTTCAAAATGGAATATGCTTATATCTAATTCGGTTACCAGTACTTACCAGATAGACCACTGCGTAGGTGCGCATAGTAACCGGTATGGCAGCAAGTAGCATGCCGCCTGCGCTGGCGATACAACTAGATGTCCATGGATGCACATATTCACGACAGCTGCAGTTGATGGCGTTGTCAATTAGTTTGCTCTGCACGGTCATGCTATGCTTTTTTTTTTTATTAAATGTACCGCGATTAAGGCTTAAGCGTATATATTAAGATTACCACACTTGGCAGGTGACCAATGATGATAAGATTATCGATGAAACTCGTACACGCACCCACCAATTCCGCGAACAAAGTACAAAAATGCGCCTGTTTCACTTGCTTTTTCGCTTGGATTTAGTTTAGCTTGTTGGTTAAAATCCGCATGGAATGCGCACCGAATACCTTACACAAATAGTGCAATCTACTCAGCTAAACGCTTCAAATTCGACTGTCTATTGCGGCGAACTATTGAACACCATTTGTTTCGGAGAACTCAATTTGTCGCTTATGATAACACGCAAATAACGTTAAGCAAGAGAGCGTGTTGTGCTTATAATGAAACACTTTCGGTTTATCAATCGTGGCGACTCTTAGCTGCGCTCTTGAACAAACGAGTTAAAGAGTCGTTAAGTAGTTTTGTTGATATTTGTTTTATTAAGAAACTGGTAGAAAAAAAAGTCAATTATTTGTCATAAACACTCATACTACCTAAATATACACCGAGGCCACTTAACACAATTGAGTGCTTTACATAGTTATATATATATACAGTACCTATATACTAAATATAATTCGGTTATGATGATGAGAGGCGTATCGAACGCGGAATATATGCGCACTTTAAGTGCTGAGACTTATTATGGTAACACATTTGCTGGCACGTTTCAGTTCGACTTCAATCGTGTGCTCGCTCAGGAGGCAAATGAGAATGCTGGCAGCGACAGCTTGTCGATGATTTTCAGGCTTTTGAGCATTTCGTTCGTCTGCTGCTGTGTATTTAAACCGAAGACATCAAAGGCGCTCAAATTGAACTTGTTGAGTCTGTTACAAAAAAAATATGTTATCGCATTTAGCATATCAAGTGTGATAAGGTGTGTGTTTTATATAGCCAATGCTTGCCTCTCGCCCGATATGGCCTGCAGAAATTTGTAGTAATTGGGTCGCAATGACTGCGCCTCCACAATGCCGGTATGGAAGAGCACCGCTGTGAAAAATGCATACATATACATCATAAAGTTGGGTATACGTGGCAGAATACCCCGTTCCTGACCAATGCCGCTGAGTATCTGTAAAAGAAGTGAGTTATAGTGAATTATTCTCTCATATATAAACAATACTTACTTGTATAGCCTTCCACATAACGTACAAGGCGACGGTATTGTCGGGGTACTGGGTAAAGGCGAGTGAGGCCACCAGACCTGCGGGTATGGCAAAGAGAGCCTCATCTCGATCGAAACAGTGGCGCAGTAAACAGGACATGGACTGCAATTGATATTAAAAACAAAACATTTCCCAAAGTACAATTAACTAAAATTTTAATTTAATAATTATCTTTTATCTTAGCTGCTTATTAATTTCCGAATACTGCTAAAATCACTACGTCATATTAGATAAATTAATTTAGAATGATATCTTAATCATTATATATTCGGCAAAGCACAAAAGCGGAGGACTATTTTTTTTTTAAGATTTTCTTTTCAATTTTGTTTGAGCGATTTCAGCTGCTTACGATATGATTGAAAGTGCGATATGTTAATGAGAATGATAATGGATTTTACACTTAAGGCATATTGATTGACTCGCTCTGATTTATATTTTACACACTAATCTTTGCTGACCAGCATAATTTAGAATTATATGGAAATGTGGTAATAGCAAAGGAAAACTTAATTGAATATGTAATCCGTTCTATTTAAATACACTATTTCAGAATTGTCAACTCACCTTAAATAGAAACGAGAAACTGCCCATGAAAACGCCCAGTTGCAGGGTGTTTCTATTGAAGATTTGCTTGCGCCACAGCATCTTGCCTTGAAACACGCTCTTTATATTCATCACCAGTTTGAGAGCCACTTGCAGAGCGACGCCGCCGGCAAAGGGACGCAAGCCACCAACAATGGCATTACTGATACAGCTGGACTTGTGGCGGCAGCTGTCATTTCTGCCGCGGATTAGATTGGTGTAAATGCGCACCCAATCGGCGGCGGTGGTAAAATTAACTGTGGGTCGCAGCCGCGAAGGAGCTGGCTGCTCACCGGGTAGCATGTGCTCAATCTTGACAATCGGACCGGCCTCATCCTTGCCCACAAAAATGCGCAAAATGTTGAAGATGGAGTCATCGGTGGCGCTCAAGCGATACAGATACAGCAGTGCGGACATGCTGCACGCAAATATCAATGTTTGTCCATGGGGAATGGGATGCACCCAGTTGCGTGCCTCGGCCATTTTCCAGAGTGCTTCAGTGGCCACGTTGGCAACATAGAGTGTCAGCAGTGGACGACGCGCCGGACGCTCGACCAAAATGGCCGTGAGCGACGAGAAAAAAGAGGGCACGAACGCAACGGTGCTGAAGTAGTAGCGTCCCAACAGATTGCGCAACAGACAATTGTACAGGATGAAAGTGTAGGCATTCGTCACCAGAAATGCGGTCGATTGAAGAATGCCCAGAAGAGTGCGTCGCAGATCCTGCAGCGTTGGTACACGATGTCGCATTAGCAGCGAGAATGCATACACTATGGTGTAGACACGTAGACAGTATGGCGTGGCCGAAAGCAATATGCCAGCTGTGGCATTTACACATTTGTCCGTCCAGGGATGCTGAAACTCCTGGCACGAAATGCGCAGCGGATCAAGCAGCTTGCTTTGTGCACCCATTATCGAAATAAAGCGACTGTAATGTGAATGCACAAAACATTTATTAGTTAAGCTTATTAAGCTTGAAATCAGTTCCAGTGTCAAGGCTAGAAGTCCAAACCTTAGACTTTAATCTTATCTAAAAACAGAGGCTATTGGCTTCACTTTCGATTGCAATCAACCACACTAAAAATAGCAGCAAACTTAAGTCAAACATCGATTAAGAATGTATGTATATAAATATCTGTTTACTATTTTACAGTATATAATTACTTGGCGTTATCAGCGGGTCAAGTACGCAACTGATAAAACGAACAATAAACTCTTGCATCTCACTGGGAGCTATTTCAACAACAAAAAAAAGGCTGGTCTAGTTTATACTTACACGAATTTGAATATGGAGAGAAAACCAGTTGTTGCCCAATCGCAGTTATATGTTTAACTAAAGCTTGTTTTAAATCAGATCTCTAAAATGCTTTGTACTCAACTGGGTAATATAAATAAATACTAGATGTCAAATTGTTTTGCCAAGTACTACTGCGTTCCATAAAAATGTAAACAAAACAATTAAAACAGCTGTCAGCTGATATCGGTGTGACCGTATCTGCTTTTCAGAGTTTGGCGCAAGAATTGGTAAGCTAAGAATTAACCTTTGCACAGTGGTTAAGCCAACTTAAAATCTACTCCCCTGAAGCCTAGTACTAAATTTAATTAAAGCTTGGGCGCACAAAGCATATGAATGCTTAATTTAAATGCTAATATTAAATGTATAAAGAGTGCTTTGAATAAAATACGTCGGGGGAATTGAGAAAGTTATCGATAAGGAATTGCGCACGTTTTACAGCACAGTGCGCGATAGCCCACGTGCAGTGTTAGTTGTTTAGTGCTTGAGCATGGACTCCAAAAGTGACGTGAGTAAACTAAAACAAATGGTTAACCTGTGATAAAGCATGTACATTTCTTGCAGCTGAAACGCGTACAATTAAAATTCGATCCTAATGCGAATGGGGATGATAGAAAGAAGGCTCGCAAGCTCTACAAAGTGTACAAAAAGGAATTTCTCGAGGAGAATGAATACAGAGAAATCGACACAAATCGCTTTGCCAGCGAATGTGGCGAGCAGATGGAACAATTTGATCCGGCCACCCACGATGCCTGGGTGCTGCAGTGCCCCAAAGGCATCGACCTGAGCAGCATGCTGACCAGCAAGCGCATCAAACTGCCCGGTCGCCGCTATGTGGGCGACATTCAGGTGCGTGCCACACACTACGCACAGCCGCAAACCCAATCCGTTGGCTACGTCAACAGCAAGAACAAGTACGCGATGCGATTGCTGCCACTGGCTGGTCAATTGGTGGTTGGCAAGCGTTTGAATATGCATCAGCCCAATGCGGATATGGACAGCAATCAGTGTCCCAAATCCTGCGAACCACAAAAATTTAAAGCGCCTCTGCGACATCCGTTCTTTGGGCGTGACTATAAAAAGCATATCGATTTGGACAAGAAGACGAAGACGAAGCTGCGCCATGCGGATAAGAGATGCGCCGAGGCAAAGGCCCAAGAGCTCGCCACGGGCAATTTCTATCAGATACGCAGTAAACTGCTGGCAACCACACAAACGCTGCAGCAGAAGGAACACGATGTGCGACAGTCGGTGCTGACTGGCGTCCTGCCCAAGTTCATGGAAGACAGCGAGCATCCAAACTATGTGGATCTGGTGAACGACGACGACGATGACGACTGTGAAGAGGCGAATCAGTCCCAGAAGCTGGACAAAAAACAGCTGAAGCGTAAAGCAAATGGTGCAGTAAAAGCTGAAGACATTCCTGACGCAGAGCAACCCATGGATAAGAAACGCAAAAAGCGCCATTCACAAAGCAATGCTTAGTCAGCCACCAAAAGCATTATGTTCTAACAACCTACAACGTCTGTTTAGTTTTAAGTTCTAAACCAAAATAACAATAAATATTTATACAGTTTTTAATTATAAACCGGTTGCTATGAATTGCCAATCAAGTTTAATTGTGTTGTACTTACTACTACAAATACAAAATAAATTGCACAATAATATAACATTAGAATTATATTTGAACAGTTGTAATTCATTTGAAGTCAAAGTGCACGCTCGATAGGTAATTTTCCTAAATTTCGATAGGCGAATATCGTATGTGCGTACCGTAGCAATTAGCTTTGTATTGAGAACTATGTTCATCGTTTAAATTTGTGTATTCTAAAAAACAAACTAGGAAAGTTTATTGGTTTTGTGCAACTTAAAATGTGGCAAATCGATTACATATAGCTCAAAAAGTAAATGGATTAGAGTTAAGATTGATTGCTTCATATACCGGTAAATGAGTTTATTATATTATCTGGTTTTTAGTTTGCTAATAGCCTTTTCCACACCCAAATCATAATTGGAGTTTAGCTAATTATAGTCGCATTGGTGGCTACAATATAAATACAATGTACATACCAACATACATAAGTATAATAAAATAATATCCATGGCAATTAAACCTTTCGCTAATGATATATACGCATTTAAGCTATTCAAATACTTGGCACATCATTTGAGAGCATCTGGTTTGGGGGCACCTTCTGCCAGTTGCCTTTTGCCATGCTTGACATTCTGCTAGGGATAACAAAATATTTCATTATTATTTGGCTGCTGGGCGAAGGGTAGGCGTAATGGTAAGAGGAGGGGAGGGTGTGTGCTTATCACTTGTGCAGAGCAATGCTATTATCTCTGCCTTTCACCTGTAGGTCGTAGCTGGGCTTACTCCCGTTAAGCTAACGTGCTTAAGTAGTTCCATTCAAGGAATATGACCGAGAAGTATTTCTGACTGTGCAGCTCTCTGTGCGTAGTGTTTTGCTTTTGTTGTTTTTGGTTTAGCTGCTTAAGAATATTGCGGTTGCTTCTGTGGGATTTCCGCTATTGGGGGGCGAGGAGAGGCTTAGGGCGAGTGTCATGGACAACAGACTACATTGGATTCCAATTGGGTGGCAGCTACTTACTTAATTTACCCAGAGGTGAAACACAAAAGCTGTGTGAACAAATCTTTGCCTTTGACATGCCACTTGCCGCTAAATACGCACTTCAAGTTAATAATGAACGATAGATGGGAGGAGTGTGGTTTGATATGAGGAATGGTAGGGAAGCTCAAGCTGAAGCAATGTTTAGCTCTAGGCATTACTTACGGACAGCTGCATCAATTGGCAAATAGTTGAATCATTGCCAAAGCAGGATGTTAATTTGTTCACTGAAGCGAGAGTTCAATATGCTCTTAATATATATATGTACATATCAACATATCATTAAAAGCAAATCAACCAGTTTAGTGCTGAGCGCATGTGATCTGAGATCTGAGGAATAAAAACAATTTTATTTGATTATATTGATTTATTCTAACTTAAAAATAAAGCTAATTAATTTTGCTTACATTTTATTATTTAATATTTTTAAGACGAATTTTAGCTGCTCAAAAAAACTTTCTCCGTTTTTTATTTAATTAATTAGAAGTGAATTACCGAGGAAATATTAAATGCTTTTGTGGCAAGTTCATTTTAAGATTTTTTACTATTTAAAAACTTCAATACTGAATTTATTATTTTTATTTTTTATATCACAGTTGCGAGGATGTTTGTTGTATCTATGATTTCAAGAAAAAATTTGTAACGAATTATTAAGCTTATTTTTTCAATCAAATATATAATATATAATAGTACAAAATTAAAATTTTCATTAGTTTATTGAGAAAATTTGTTATAGGTTCATTTATTTGTTTATTGCACTTTTAAAATGTTTTTTTCCTAATCACTTATTTTAAATTTAGTATATTATAAATATAAACATTTATTTTTGGAATAGAAACATATTAATATCAATAATATTTCTCATTAGCGGTTATAAAACTGTTGCCGATCAGGAGAACGGTTTTAGTTATTCTACACATAGAATCAAATAATATTGAAAAGCATATATATTGATTTTAAAAACAAAAACTGTGTTTTTTGAGCACAACGAGTGTTAATTAAAATGTTTGTCAGATGACCTCACCACAGCCGAGAGTACAGCTGCAGTAACTCCACCCACAATATGTTGCAGCTGCCATTGCTCATGATGCTGAATTGTTATTGATTTTACAGACTTGTCTTCTGGAAAGGCGAAAGGCGACTCATCTATTCTCTCGTTCGGAGCTTTGCCTGCTATCCAGCTGATGGCTCGGCTCATTTGCTTAGCCATGTCCAAGTGCATGTGTGTGTGTGTGTGTGTATTGCTGTGTGTTAACGGTGGTTACGGCTTCCTTCTAAATGTGTTCAATTAAGCGGTTATAAATTGTTCATTTGCCCATTGGTGCGCATGGGCAACAACAAAAACAGCAATAACAACTACAACAACAGGCAATGGCATCCGGTGCAACTATGGGAAAACAGCAGGCGACATTGTCCACGTTGTAATATTTTACTGTAGGCTTTAGGCCAGCAGTTTGGGCCGATAAGCACGATATGTGTGTGTCGACATTGTACATTGATGCATATCCTGCCATTAACAATCCTGGCCATATACACACGTACATACATATAAAATATATACAATTAATTATACGCAAAGTTGTTATTTTATTAATTGGTGCATTTAGTTTCGGGCATTATTTTTGGTGGTAACAAACAATACTTGGCTAACCAAAATGTTGGCTGCCAAAACAAATGCCGAAAGTCATCAATAGCCATGGGACTTGATAGCCGCAAGGCCAAAGCGCTCACACTCAAAAGCAAAAAGTCAACACGAGCACACACAAGCAGAGAGAGAAGGATATTGAGAGAGAGAGAGAGAGAGAGAGAGAGTTAGAGAGAGAGAGAGAGAGAGAGAATGAGATTTTAAAAGTTTAAAGGGTGTGCTCAGCATTTTGGGCATAACCAAAAATTGTGGCCAAGACCGCAGGGACTTCACATCAAATAGAAATTTGCGGCTATTGCTAACAAACGAGCATCAGGACACACACACACACAAACACATACCAGATCACAGTCATACACACACACACACACACACACACACATGCATATCTACAGTCTGTCCATAGTGCTGTCCACATTTCCGCAGCAAATGTGTCAAACGTCACACACTTGCACCCATACTAACACTTCCAGTTACACATGCACGCACTCAAACACACACAGCCAAACACACCCAATCACACACCCAATCACACACACACTTCCACACACACTGAGGGAGAAGTGAATTACAGCTACTTTTTGGCAGGGTCAACAAAGGGGGTCGCTCCGCACGACTTGTCTTGCTACCAAATGTAAAATTTACAATGTGATAGTTGTGCTTTTTTGAATATCCTGTAGCTAGCCAGGTAGAACAGATCAGAGCAAGTCCAGGCAGAAGATGCAAGAATATTTAATATTCTTGTTGGTGACATCTTTTTATAATTTAAATAAGCGAAGTCTGTTACAAGTATCGAAATTCTTAATTTCTTCAAAGGCTTGTAAACGTAATTTAGAAATAACTAATTAATAAAATTACTTCAAGATTGCGTATTTAATGTGATTTAAAAAAAAAGAAACACCACTCTATTTTTTAAATTATATTTTTTTAATGCTGTTTTAATGCACAGATATAATTAATGAAACTATTTGAAAGTTCCACGGTATTCCAGACTCTGAGTATTTTTTTTTTAATTTTCTCATTATACTTCGAATGAGTACTTTGAGCTCTGAATTGAAATTGATGTCTTGGGCAAGTTGTTTCACTTGTCCATGTACTCTTCATATTAACAAATTACCATAATGAAATGTAATAGGATTTCAAATCGAACAGCAGCCATTGCAGCATTGCTACTGCAAAATGCATTACCAAATAATTTGACGTGGGTTCAAAGAGCAGGTGCAAATGCTTTGAGCTTTCTGCCCAATTGGTTTAAATTTCGGTGTTTCTCTTTTGCGCATATGCAAATTTTTGGTTTGGTGCACATGCTTTACAGGAAATTTCAAATCAATTCCCGCTATGGGGCAGCGTGGTCTCCGGCGCAATAACCAATGTAAAACATGGGGCAAACTTCAACACACAGAAATTAGTTCACTGCCCATAAAAGTTTCGGCAAAGTTTTCCGTCGCTTCCTCTCTCACTCTCTCTTTCTCTCTCTCTCTCTCTTTCCCTCTCTCTCTCTATCTCTCTATCTGTCTCTCGCTCCAGCGTGTCCTGTGCCCCGGCGCACTGATTTGTACCACACAAAACAATTTTGTGCTGCTGGGACCATCACTTGAGCAACTTTCATCCCAATGGTTTAATTGTATTTTGCAGTTTCAAGCTTCTCTGTCGAAAGAAAAATAAACTTGAAAAATTGCAGAAAAGGCATCCACATTGAATTTCCATGCGTGATAGGTGCGGAAAATTCCTTTTGGTCTGTTTTCCGTTCAGAAGCGCGGTTTCCTGTTTCTTTGCCACAATCGCAAATCTTCTTTTTGCATTCGCGCACCGCGGTTGGGTTTCTTTCAATTTGGCCCAAATTCAAATAACTGCCTGCCGTGCTTTTTGTACTTATGCCGCACACGAAAATCTCTTTGCGTTGCCATTCCTTGTGTAGCACACCTTTCCGGGCAGGTCTATCATCATCCAGCTTTAACGAAGAAACGAGAAAACCGCCGCCACAGAGTACACTGAAAAAATAAAGATTTATATCTGATAGTCGAACAAGTGGATTTTAAGTTTACTTTTTACATCGATCAACTTATTTATTTTCCTAGTTAATGTGGAGTCGAAACTTTTTTTAATTAAAGAGAAAACTACAAATTAACTTATAAAGAATTAAGAGTGATGTATATTTAAAATGAAAATTATTAAATAAAGGATATAATAGAGAGTAATATTCATTCATCAACTTAAAAAAATAATTTAATAATTTTGTTATATATATATGACAAAAAATAATAATAATTTTTTTTGTGTATTAGTCGATCTTTAGTTTATAAAATAATATTCCCAAAAATCAAGTTTAACTAATATAAAGTTGAATTTAAACTGACATCGAACGTAAAATATATTTATTCGTCACAACATCCGAATTAATATAAGAGTTTTAAAATTCGAGATAAATTGAAATATTTCTCTCAGTGCACATTGCATACTTTGTAATTGGGCTAGCCTGTTTAATGCGCGCTAGCTTGTCGAGAAACTTGAAGATTTAATTTATTTGAAGTACGCTTCATCTCCTGGCGACTTGGGGATAGCCACTCTGCAATTTCCATTTTCGATTCCCGTTTACCCATTTTGAATCCATCTTTCGCATCTATCGATTGATGAAAAATGACTTCGTTTGGCTTGATGCGCTGATTCGTTTTCCATTGCAATTATTTAAACGTTTCAATTGCTCGATTTCAGATTTGTTTGGCTTCCTTTATTGCCGTTAACATTTATTTCCTTTTTGCTGTATGTGTGAGTGTTTGTGTGTGTGTGTGTGTGTGTGCTGATGTCGATTTTATCTTCAAGTGATATATTATGCAATCGTTGGTGGCGTGTCTCAGCATTTTGTATACCAATTTAAAAGTGGTCTTCACTGAATGTAAATAACAATTAAATTCCAAGTCTGTGGTCATGTTCGTATCGTACCTTATAATTTGGCATATGTGAAGCCTACGGCCAATTATTTCTCGCACGCGCCGCAACTGTCGACATACAACATTTAACTCTTAACTATGAGCCATAACGTGAATTCATAATAAATTTTATATTTGCTTGAGAACCAAGCAGGTGATATCTTTGATAATAAATTTTCACAATGTTATTAATGGCATCAAAATCATAAATAACGATTGAATAGGTTTTTGGTTTTGTTAACGTTTATCTCAAATTTTAGCATGAAAATACTGTCAAATACTGTATAATTTACAGTGTAAAGTATATTAAATATTAATTTTCTTCCACATCCCATATAAATAAAGCAATTGTAGTGCGCTAGTCTAATTTACTAATACATATATTATGCCCAAGTCTATGCTATGGGTTTTGCCATACCAAGCCGAGCTTTTGCTGATGTCCTCTATAAGGTAAAGTAATACAATGTCGAGCCCTATTTGTTAAATTTCTTCACATGTTTCTTCTTGCAAATTCTTACTCTGATTCTGTTTGCGGAAAGTATTTGGACTTTGGGTTGTTTTCCACCTAGTAAAGTTGTCTAAGGCACATGTGGAAATTAATAAAATCGACTTTAAACAAAAAAAAGTTTTTTAAAACAATTAAATAAATAAAAATAATAGCTATCAACAGAAAATCCTTTATGGACAACTGCATCTCGAACAAATAAACAAAGGCAATTTCTTTTTTGAAAACATACTTAAATTTCTTATTCTGAATCGTCACCATATATACATTGAATCAGTAACTAGCGAATTCAAGCCCAATCGCCGCCAATCGCAGTTGAAAAAAAAAAAAATAATAAAATCTGTGACCAAACTTTCCACTGGAGAAAATTGCACGGCACAGCATCACTATGCTTCAAATACTTCTACAGATCATCTGACGATCCCTTAAGCAATGTTATAATATATAATTAAATAATTTAGGTGGTGTGATGAGAGATGCAAACCACATAAAGTGCTAAAAGATATGCTAAGCGATCAAATAAAATCACTTCAACACTCATAACTGCCAACATTAAAATATTCAATTTAATTTATTAATAATCAATTTACCCCTATGCCTGATTAGATGCCTTGGACTCTCGCCTACATATTACATTTATGAGATCGGCTCAATTCCTTTTTCCTCTCTTCCCCCTTCCCCACGATATCATTTAATTAGTATTATGCACAGCAAGCACGTAGCGTAGGGAACTTTAAGGATCATAGTTCCGGAAGCAACGCGGGCATCTGCTCGTCGATGCCAGGTAAAATGTTGCACAATGCAGAAAACATAAATGAATTAATTATTTATTATTTTTTGACAAGTTGAATTTTATAAATAACGCTTTTCAAGGAAATTCGATCTAATTTTTAACTTTATAAATTATATTTATACAAGATAAATAAATGCAAAGCATAAACTGAGAATTGGCTGTCGTGCCCAAGTTTTTTATTTAGATTTTAGCTTAAGTGGCTATTGTGCGTTTCTATATGAATATAACTTATTCTCGTATATGTTACTCATTCCAATGTGAAACTTATTAGCTTAAATATTCAGAAATTATTTGTATCATAGCTTTTAATGTGGCATATGGGCAGCCTTTAACCGCAACTGTCTACATTTAACTGTTGACTGTAAACTATAATTTAAATGCGTAATAAATGTTTGCTCCTGATTCTGTCTATAAAAGTGCGTACATTCATTCCACAGTTCATATTCGGTTTAGAGCAGTACAAGTCAAGAAGTCCATTGAAAATGCCGCTGGCCAAAATGGATAGTTTTTTGAAGTATGCCAACTTCTTTTACTCGGCCGTTGGCATTGAGCCCTATACGAAAATGTCGCGTTCGAGTGTCGCCAGCCGCTGGATCAGTCTTGTGTTTTGGGCCAACTTAATCAACCTCAGCCTCAATCTCCTTGGCGAGTTGGGTCTTGTGCTGATTGCCTTTGCCACCGGAGAGCACATTTTGGAGGCCATTACGGTCATGTCGTATATTGGCTTCGTTTCAGTGGGCATAATTAAAATGATGTTTGTATGGCAAAAGAAACCGGCGCTCAGCCACATTATATGGGAGTTGGAGAAAGTGTTTCCATGTGACAAGGCGGCTCAATTGGCTTACAATTTGGACAAATATTTAAATTCCTGTTTGCGCATCAGCTTCACCTTTTCCATGTTATATTCCGTGCTTATTTGGACATATAATCTATTTGATATTATGCAATATTGCGTATACGATTTGTGGCTCGAGATGCGCGAAGTGCCACTATTGCTGCCCTATCCAATTTATGTACCATGGCACTGGCAAGGCCATTGGAGTTATTATCTGCTGGTCATCTCCCAGAATATTGCAGGTTACACTTCGGCAGCGGGACACGTGTCGACAGACCTGCTGCTCTGTGCTATTACCACTTTGATCGTCATGCACTTTGATTATTTGGCCAGGACGATTGAGAAGCAGGTGCTGAGCGGTGATTGGTCAAAGGACTCGCGCGTGCTCTTCGATGTGGTTCAGTATCATGAGCGCCTGCTGCTTCTCTCTGATCAACTCAATGAGGTCTTTGGAGTGCCCTTGCTTATGAACTTGCTCATCTCATCGTTTGTTATTTGCTTCGTGGGATTTCAGATGACAGTTGGCGTTCCGATTGATTTACTTATTAAATTATTTCTCTTTCTAATCTCTTCACTGTGCGAGGCCTACTTGATTTGCCATCATGGACAACTGATAGCCGACGCGGTGCGTGTTCTGTTGTGATTGTTGTGATTGTTGTGATTTTTAAATTAAACCTCCGCTTCTCATTTATTTTTTTTTTTTTAGAGCTTTGGTATTTCAGCGGCAGCCTATAATCAGAATTGGTACTATGCGGATGTGCGATATCGCAGATCATTGATTTTAATCATAGCGCGATCTCAAAGTCCAGTATATCTCAAGGCAACGGTTTTTATGAAGATCACCAGAGGCACCATGACGGATGTGAGCATTTCAACTGTTTTATGAACTTTAATTTTTCTTATTTTTTTAAAAAAATCAAAGTTTATAGTATCTCAGTATATAATACAATAGACTTTCAGTTTGGAACTAAGTTAGCTTTCAGTGCAGAGGGTAATTTTATTCCTGGTTGAGGGATTATATGACTTTAGCTAGAAATGAAATTTATTATATAACTAACTATTGTTCGTTTTCAAGATATTTTATATTTATATTTCAATGTCTAGTGAAGAAACTAGTTTTCAGCAAAGAAAATTGATAATATAATTGTCCATTTTTTTATCTCTGTTTTTCAGCTACTGCAATTATCGTACAAGTTTTTTGCGCTACTTCGCACCATGTATGCCGTATAGGAATGTCCTGCAAATACTTACACACGAGTAGTACACATATAAAACAAATGCTTAACTCGAAATGCTCAACACTTATCATATGCTTTTAAAGGATCAAGCGCGACATAGTAATAGGTCGGTTCTTGATTATGCAAACGCATGTTCGTTTTCTATAACGTTCTCGTTCATTAGTCCAGCACTTGCCACACTGAAATCTTGTGGAAAAAATGAAAGAAAAACTTAACATTATGTGTTAAAAAAGGTTCGCATTGTATTTGACGCTTTTCTGGACGAAAGTTGGGCTTTATGAGTTTTTCAGTTGCATTTTGTTTTCTTGTTGTTATCGTTTCTATATATTTTTCTTCGGAATGGACGTTTTTCAACAAAGCTGTTTGACTGAACGTAATGCAATTTCTATAAAGTGTGTGGGTGTGTTCTGATTACGCACTCAACAATATTACTAATTTATGCGCACAATGACGGCGAAATTTCAATATCAAGCTCCAATGGTAATTTGTTCACTTTATTTCAGATATTCATATAAGATAACTAAATAAAAATAAGAAGTCGTTTGCAAATTATTCATTAAGCTTTAGCTTAATCGGCTGTTAATCCTTTCTTTGTAAATTATAAAATGACATTATTTTTTTAAACTTTATATAAGATATTTATTCAAGGTAACAAAGGATAAGTTTGAGAATTAGCTGACGTGTCCAAATTATTTATTTGGATACTAGCTTAATTGTAAATTTTTTTTATAGGTATTAGAACTCTTTGCAGAAAGATATATGTTATTCATTTCAATGCCAAATACATTCGTTTAAATATTAAGAAAATAATTGTAATCTATGTGTACATTTGAATATTATAGCTTTTAATTTGGCATATGGGCAGCTTTTAACTGCAACTGTCAACATTTAACTGTTGACTGTAAACTATAATTTAAATGCATAGTAAATTTTTGCTCCTGATTCTGTCTATAAAAGTGCGTACAGTCATTCCACAGTTCATATTCGGTTTAGAGCAGTACAAGTCAAGAAGTCCATTGAAAATGCCGCTGGCCAAAATGGATAGTATTTTTAAGTATGCCAACTTCTTTTACTCGGTCGTTGGCATTGAGCCCTATACGAAAACGTCGCGTTCGAGTGTCGCCAGCCACTCGATCAGTCCTGTGTTTTTAGGCAACATAATCACCCTCAGTGTCAATATGTTTGGCGAGATGGGTTTTGTGCTGGTTGCCTTTGCCACCGGAGAGCACATTTTGGAGGCTATTATGGACTTGTCGTATATTGGTTTCGTTTTCGTGGGCATAATTAAAATAATGTCTATATGGCAAAAGAAACCGGCGCTCAGCCACATTATATGGGAGTTGGAGAAATTGTTTCCATGTGACAAGGCGGCTCAATCGGCTTACAATTTGGACAAATATTTAAATTCCTGTTTGCGCATCAGCTTCATCTTTTCCATACTATATACCGTGCTCACTTGGACATATAATTTATTTGATATTACGGAATATTGCGTATACGATTTGTGGCTCGGTATCCGCGAAGTGCCACACCGGCTGCCCTATCCAGTTTATATCCCGTGGCACTGGCAGGAGCATTGGAGTTATTATGTGATGCTCATTTATCAGGACTTTGCTGCATGCGTGGCGGCAGCAGGTCAGGTAGCGACAGACTTGTTGATCTGTGCTCTTACCACTTTGATCGTCATGCACTTTGATTATTTGGCCAGGACGATTGAGAAGCAGGTGCTGAGCGGTGATTGGTCAAAGGACTCGCGCGTGCTCTTGGATGTGGTTCAGTATCATGAGCGCCTGCTGCTTCTCTCTAATCAACTCAATGAGGTCTTTGGTGTGCCCTTGCTTATGAACTTGCTCATCTCATCGTTTGTTATTTGCTTCGTGGGATTTCAGATGACAGTTGGCGTTCCGCTTGTTGTACTTATTAAATTATTTCTGTTTCTAATCGCTTCAATGTGTGAGGCCTACTTGATTTGCCATCATGGACAACTGATAGCCGACGCGGTGCGTGTTCTGTTGTGATTGTTGTGATTTTTAAATTAAACCTCCGCTTCTCGTTTATTTTTTTTCAGAGCCTTTAGTATTTCCGTGGCAGCCTATAATCAGAATTGGAACTATGCGGATGTGCGATATCGCAGATCATTGATTTTAATCATAGCGCGATCTCAAAATCCAGTTTATCTCAAGGCAACGGTTCTTATGACTATCACCAGAGCCACCATGACGGAAGTGAGCATTTCAAATATTTTATGAACTTTAATTTTTCTTAATTTTTTTACAAAATCAAAGTTTATAGTATCTCAGTATATAATAGAATAGACTTTCAGTTTGGAACTAAGTTAGCTAGAGGGTAAATTTGATGATGTTTGATGGTTTATATGACTATAGCTAGAAATGAAATTTATTGTTTATTTATTTATTATTATTAATTTATTAATTATTGTTTTTTCCAAGATATTTCACCCAAAATATCTAAAGGGGATACTCAAAAGATTTTCAATGCAAATTTTGATCATCACTAGAATACTCTTAAAGGAAAATTTTGTTAGTTTCCTAACTCACAATAGCATATCATGCAGCAACAATATGTGTGCAAGAGTGAAATTTGTTTATATTCCAAGAGTGATTTTCAAATGCTATACTCCATTTTAACGATTTATAATGTGAAACTATGTTAATATGTAGCTTTTTGCTAGCTGAATAAGCTTTTATCTTATTTGCTCAAAAGATAAGCTTAAATTTTAATTACAAAAATAACATGTGAAAGAGTATCAAAATAATTTTAATTAGTTCGACGCGATTTTGGTCCTAAAGTAATCCTCAAATTTGCATTTAAGAAATGAAATTATATAGGAATTATATGGCTAGGGAAAAAAACGAATTTTCAGCAACGAAAATTGATCTTACAATATTCCTTCCTGTTTTTTTCTTCTTTTAAATAGCCTTAATATAATTGTCATTTTTTTATCTCTGTTTTTCAGCTGCTGCAATTATCGTACAAGTTTTTTGCGCTACTTCGCACCATGTATGCCGGATAGGAATGTCCTGCAAATACTTACACACGAGTAGTACACATATAAAACAAATGCTTAACTCGACACTTATCATATGCTTTTAAAGGATCAAGCGCGACATAGTAATAGGTCGGTTCTTGATTATGCAAACGCATGTTCGTTTTCTATAACGTTCTCGTTCATTAGTCCAGCACTTGCCCCACTGAAATCTTGTGGAAAAAATGAAAGAAAAACTTAACATCATGTGTTAAAAAATGTTCGTACTGTATTTGACGCTCTTCTGGACGAAAGTTAGGCTTTATGAGTTTTTCAGTTGCATTTTGCTTTCTTGTTGTTATCGTTTCTATATATGTTTCTTCGGAATGGACGTTTTTCAACAAAGCTGTTTGATTGAATGTAATGCACTTTCTATGAAGTGTGTGAGTGTGTGGGTGTATTCTGACTTCGCACTCAACATTATTACCAATTTATGCGCTGAAGTGTGCGAACTTGCTACAAAACGACTGCGAAAATGCGATCTCAGGCTCCAATGGATGCTTTATTTTCTTGGTGCTCACTATATGTGGCACTACATATGTGAGTTTCGCAGTAGCCAATTGGCTGGTTAGACTCATACCACCCAGTACTCCTTGGATCTCGTTCTCGCGCCACCAGTGGGATAAAAATAAGACCAGAATGCATTGCCTATTTGATGAATTTATAAATCACCTGCAACTGGCATTCGCACGATTTTCGCTTCAGTTCGCCGACCGTCGTTTCGAGCCATGCTCATAAAAAATATTAAAATATATGTACTATTTTATTTTTTTTCCATTCCTACCTACTTTTCTTATATATATGCGTGCACTAGTATGACAGTTTTCCATATACCCTACTGACATTAAAAATGGGGAAAAGAGGTATACTGAAGTTGAGCAAATTATGTAAAATGCAGAAGGAAGTATGTCCGATACCATAAATTATATATAATCTTGATCAGCATTAGCTGATCGACTTAGCCGTCTTTTTGGAAAGATATTTAAATTGGTTTTAACATCATCTAAACTAAACACAGATTTATAAAGACAGAAAAATCAGACAAATCTTCAAAGTACATGTATTTAGTGTTTTGGGTTTTACTATCAGCAATCCTTCATATGGGCTTATAAAGCTGTGTTCAGGGTATCTCCTGGTCGAATTGTCTACACAAAAGCACATACTTTTAATATTTATAAATATGTGCGCTTTCATTTTGGGTGGGTTTTTTCTGGGGATTTATTTTTCATTTTTATAAATTTTTTATAAGGCTTCTACTGTGCTACAAACATTTAATTTCTGGTCACGTCTTGTATGATTTACAAATTCCAACAACATCGTCAGTTTTCAATATCTGCTATCTGCTTATTTGTGTGCATTTGTTTGCCGTATATGGCCATAACCTTATAATATACTCGTAAGCGCAAAATGATTACCACGTCAAAAAGCAACAGAGTCAAGCCAATTAGTCGATTTTCTGATTAAATTCCGAATATTGAATTTTTATGTCACACAACCCGGTATGTAACACAATGAATAGAATTTCCCAAACTTTAATTTAGCATTTGAAGCTTCTGGAAATAATCTTAACATGAAACCTAGAATTGCGGTTCCAACATTGTATGTAGTATTTATTTAGAGTTCAAGCAATGATTGAAAAGCCATGCTTGGTACAAAGTTATGGCTGTTGAAAATTTAGATTTCGCCATATATAATCATGAGATGTAATACAATTATGTATCTAGACAAAATTGTTCTCAAATCGCACCATAAAAGTTAGGACAAAATCTATAAAAGTCAAATTTAGCATTCTTGGCTACTATGTATCAGTAAAATAAATATATAACTCGAGAACATTTGAAAATAAATGTCTAAATTGTTGTTTAATATGCAAAACATTATTAAATTTGATTTATACCTCAATAAAAAACTTAAAAAAAAAACGAATCGATATTATTTTAAATATTTTTAATGGACATAAGTGCACCCAAAATATATTGATTGCAATAAAAAAACATGTATGTATATTTAAACTGTTGTTCGCTATATAGACTAACTTTCAATAAAAAAGTCATCCACTCTTTGATATACCTGTGTGTGGCAAAAATGAAATAATTTTTATTGCAACATTTTGTGCTTTCTGCTGATTGTTAAATCCACTTATCAAAACGTGCAAATAACTCAACACCCGGGATAGGTACACAGCACACACACGTATACAGTCACATGGATATGCATATACCTCACATGACCCAGTGAACCATGTCCATTGACTAGTTCACAAAAAAATGATGAATTTTTCGACAAAAAAAAATATGAAATCTAAAAAAAATTCAAATACTCTAGTCAAAAGTGATCGAATTGTGGCTACCCCTTATTTAGATTTTAAATTTCAAAATATGTTTTCCGAATTTTATTTTATGGGATAAGTAAATATTTATAATGCGCAAAACTAAAAGATTTTCAATTAAATATTATTCATAATCAATTTTAAGTTAACTTAATAGATAATTTTCTCTACTGACTTATATACATATATAAATTAATTTGATGTATATAATAAAGTAATATAGTCTTCGTTTTATATAATATTTATTTCGAACGGCCAATTAATTAAATTGTAAGAATGTTTATCTGTTTTTAAGGTCATTTATTTGTTTAGATACAAAAGTCAAACGTTTTCAAAGAAGCAACAGTTTGGTTTTTATCTCTTTTTTACTATTCTATCGAATGTCTCGAAAATATCATATAATTCCAATGGATGATGCTCAACTATATGCCTTCTACTCCACTTTTGATTCACAAGGTATATAAATGTGATCCGGTTGGTGAGCAAACTCTGATGTATCATTCTTGGCGCAAATTGGGCTCTGTTTTTTCAATTAGCTACCATTAAATTGAATTCAAATATTGAGACAATATGTGGTCCACCCACCTCCAACACCATCCCCTTCCCAGCCTTTAATCACCCGATTGTAGTTTCATTTCAGCTTAGCGGAGTTCTTTGTCTGCCATCGTATGATTTATTGATTTCGAGTTTGCAGTTTTTCTTGTCAAATAGTCGACAGCGATAAAGTGCGAGTGTTGCGTTGCCAGTTATATAGCTTGGTCCGTGCAGAACCAATGGACACTGTTACCATTTGGCTTTCCGGGAGGTCGTCGAACCATATTTTCTGAAAGCATTCTTGTGAAATGCTTCTAAGTGCGTTATTGGGTGCAGCAATGATAAATCGAAATGTTAATTGAATATTTTGTGTGCGTAATGTTCAAATGGGCAAATGGCCGAAAGAGTTTAATCATAAACACAGACTGAAAGACCGCAGAATAGGCAGTTAACTGCAACTTTAGTCAGCAGCTTTCAAATGGGTTATTTGCATTGTACAATGTTGCCAAAATGGATTGATGATGTGAATGATACCAAACAATTACCATTTCTGATGTCAAACAATTTACTGTTATATCTGACCATCAATTTAGTTATATGTATAAGTGAACAAATGTCATAAATGGCTGTCTAAAATGTTATTTTTCCACCTCTTTTCAAAGAGACACACAAGTCTTTATATATGGAATGTCAATGAAATTTTTGGGCTTGATTCTTATTAATTTCTCTATTCAGAACAATTCTGCTTTATGTAGTGGTTCTTGTATAAGTTTCAAAAGAAAAATTATACTAATTCGCACTTCATACTTTAATTATTTCAAATGCTTTCCAATATTACTAAAATTAGAATCAAATTTAATATCTTTGACAAATAATAGTTGATTTAAATATATATACGTACAAGTATCATTGTTGACTTATTTGTTTAAGTATTTTGGTGAAAGAGGTCCTTAAGGTGAACCACTTAAGACACTTGTGAGTTTTGCAATTATCAAAATGCAAATGACTTTGGGAAGCTACTTCAGGAATATATTGATACATATAAATTGATATTGATACATATAAAGAGATAAGCTCTTGAATAGGTTGATACTAAAAGATCTCTGCTATATTCAAAGTAGAAAGAAAAATGTACTTAATAGAGAGACAAGGACTTAATGTGCTGTTGAGACACATAAAGCGGCCGCAAAAGAGTCGCTGCGTGTGTTTGCACATAGATAAGCACCCGGATTTCAGTTGCCCATTACTCAACGGCTTTAACGGTACGGGGCTGTGCAGGCTGATGCCTTACTATAGTTTCTCATTCGGAGCATCGTATAAGAAATGCATGTACACATAATTCATTTTTTACGCTAGATTACAACAAAACGCTGGCGACAGTAGAAGAGACGCAGGCAACAAATGCGGCACTGGTATGCCTGTTAAGTAGCTATAAGCAGCACCTACACATACGCACACAATCACACACACACACACACACACACTAATGTATAACATATCCAACGCACACATGCATAAAAAACTTCTTTGAAGAAAATTAAGTTGAAACAGACTACGTTAGAAAGTCGACATTCGCTGTGAGTCGTTGAAGGCAGCGGAAACGGATGCGGCAACCAAGTTTATGTTAAAGTTTGATGCATGACATACAACCACAAATCCACCCTTCTTAGACGCATTCACGCACACAGTCGCATATACAACTAAGTAGCTATTTTTGCAGGCAAACTTAGACATCTATATATATATTCATATATATATATACTTATATATATATATATATATATGTATATTTCCAGCAAGTTGCTGCAGTTGACTTTTATGCCTGTGTGTTGTAACTTGCGGTGGTGTCCGTTACAATGTGTGCGTTCATGAGTGTGTGTATATGTCTGTGTATGTGGAGGTGCAACGGAAATTAAATCAGCTTCATGTGCAGTGCACATCATTAGTATGCAAACAGACGATGCACTATAGGGAAATATGCAATCTTTTTGACAGAAAGTAATTTTTAAAATGTTTTCTACATAATATATACATATCGAAAATAAACTAAGTTTAAATTCTATTTGTAATTGACTTCGATGAAAAAAAAATGTTAAGCAAAGTCTATATTGGTGAAGATACCTTA